GCGAGAGTGGACGGGTGCAGCCAGCGGTGACCCGGCTCACACGTTCGGCGCGGTCCCTACCGCCTGTGACAGAGCCGCCTTGGAGGTCCCACACTTGGGGAAGATTTCCTTCCATCTCCCGGTATGTTGCCTCTGCGCAAAGCCTGGACACGGGATGTCCTGCCGGCTGAGCTGACTCCCGATGTCCAGGGGATGCTGACACTTGCGTGGGCCGTGGGGACTATACTGACTGGTGACATTGGCAGACAACCCAGACTCCTCAATTTAGTTGATGAACTTCTACCCCCCTTATTAGACTTTAATGTGGGAAAAGATACTAAGCAAGTTACCTTCATCTCTTTTCTTGCTCATTTTAACATGTAAAGATACGAGTGAGCAGATAAATGATGACAAGCCCTAGCAGTGTGGGGGACTTCATGGACCGAATAATCTGCCCATTAGTTGCAAAGAACAGACGAATTTCAGCATATGGAGCGTAGGGCGTTTCTGAACTCTTTAAAATATTTCTGAACTGCAGCAGCCTTTGGTGGAAGGGGGCTAGTGATGACATTTTGGTGAATCTATTAGTTGACACTAGATCCTTCTTGTGCTTTGAAGAATAAACCCTAATCTATTTTATAATTAACTCCTCAAGGAAGCTTCAGTGTGACCATACGACGAATCACAACCATAATTACAAGTGTTGCTAATGGAAATATTTTTAAAATTTAAAGAAGGATTCAAAAGGTGGTCATAAAGGTACAAACTTCCAGTTACAAGATAAGTAGGTACTAGAGGTGTCATGTCCAGCGCGTGACTATGGTTAACACTGATACATGGTATATGTGAAACTTGTGAAGAGTGCATCCTAACAGTTCTTATTACAAGGGAAAACGTTTTTTTCTTTTCTAAAAAATTGTATCTATATGAGATGATGGATGCTAACTAAATGTATTGCAGTCATCATTTCACAATCTGTGTAAGTCAAACCATTGTGCTGTACACTCTAAACTTATACAGTGATGTATGTCAATTATATCGCAATAAAAATAGGAAAAATTTATTTTTTTTCTCACAAATACTCTTCAAGTAATATGTGAGTGTTTCTTTACATTTAAATGACTTACTCTGTGATTTGGGTTTTGCCATATAGGTTTTCTTAGAACTTACAACTGTAATATGTGACCATACAGTTGAAAAGTGGAAAAATTGATTTGCAGATTTGGGACTGACTTAACTCTAAATTTTATGACAGCTTCAGATATCCAATTGTATTTGTCTGCTTGCTCTGCCACAAGAAGAAAAATACCACAGACCAGGAGCTTAAACAATGGAAATTGATTTCTCACACTTCTGAGGCTGGGAAGTCCAAGGTCAAGGTGCTGGCAAGGTAGGTTTGTGGTGAGAGCTCTCCACCTGACTTGCAGTCAGAGGCTGTGTCCTCACCTGGCTGAGGGAGGGAGTAACGGAAGAAGGGAGTGCTCTGGTGTCTCAGCTTTTTTTGTTTAATTTTTCTATTATAGCTGACATACAATGTTATATTAGTTTCAGGTTACAACATAGTGATTAGACATTTATATACCTTATGAAGTGACCACCCCGTGGTGTCTTTCCTTTTCTATTTTTTCTTTTCAAGATTTGATTGGGGAGTTGGGGAAGGGGAACAGACAAGTTGCTGTCCTTTTTTGTTCGTCAGCCTAGTTGTGGAGGACGTCGCTTCACTGGCCCATGTTGGTATTATCATTGCGCTCTTCCCTGCTGAGGCAGATCCGTTGCTGGCCACTGGACAGCCGCTCACGGCAGCTCTTGGCAACTCATGCCGGCCGGCCACTCACAGTAGCTTACAGCAGCCCACTTCAGCTTCATTGCAGCCTACACCATCGCTGGCGACTCACGGCAGCCCAGCTCCAGGTCGAGCTGTTGTTCACCATCTTAGCTATAGAGGGTGCAGCATCACTGGCCCTCATGTGGGATCCAAACCGGGGCCCTGCTGCTCAGAGCTGGCGTCCCAAGCCAGCTCTTAACCAATGTGCCACTCAGCCAGCCCCCATGGTGCCTTTTCTTATAAGGGCACTAATCCTATTGGAGTAAGAGCCCACCCCTTATGACCTCATTTAACCTTAATTACCTCCTAAAGTCCCCATCTCAAAATCTAGTGACATTGGGGTCAGGGTTTCAGCATACAGATTTTGGGGGGACACAGTGCAGTCCACAGCGTTAGTCTTGTAGCCCCTTCTCAGTCCTGATCCCTGTGTTTGGAACAGCTGACGATCCCCTTTTTTGGCTCTAATGTCACAGTTTTGTCCTCTTCCTGCTATTTTTCTGACTCTGTTTTCATTATTGGTTCTTCTGCCATGGGGGATTAGTGGCATTCCTTATGGATAACTTCCTTTTCCCTGTAAAGAGAAAAAAAAAAAGAGCTAGCGTTTTTGAATACCTACTAGATGTTTTATATAGTCATTCAGTCAGTTACCGAATTTGTATCGCTTGCTAGCTTCTTGCTAAAAACTATTCAGGTCACTAAGAAGACAAAGTTCTTCCTTTTATGATGTTTTCATTATGAGTAAAAAGATATAAAAAAATTAATATATAATATGTCAGGTTACGGTAAGAAGTTCCATGAATTAAAATAAAACATGGGAAGAGGATGAGGGTTCTGTTTTTTGATGGGAGGGGAGTGTGGTCTTAGAAGGCCCTTCTGATGAGATGACATTTGAGCAGAGGCCAAAGGGAGTGAGGGAGCAAGTCAGGTGGAAATCAGGAGGAAGGGCACTGGTACAGAGGGAATAGCAGTGCTGATGCCCTGAGGTGTGTTTGCAGCCAGTGAGGCCGCAGCAGCCTAACCAGGGGGAGAGGAGGCTGGACAGAAAGAGCAGGCCAGGTCACATAGGGCCCGAAAGGCGAGAGGCTTTTCCAGCATTCTGAGCTGGGAGGGACATGATCTGACTGACATTCTAAAACAACCACTCCCACTGCTGTAGTTGTATGGTGTGGTGGAAGCTGGGAGACTAGGTGGGAACTATTAGAACAGTCCAGATAAAAGAAGGTGATGATGGTAGCAGTGGAAGAGATAAGAAGTGGTTATGCATAATGTCTACCAAACCATGCCATTGCCTGAGCATGTGGTCCTTCAAGATGACTATGAAGCAATTTTTAGAAATGTGTTTCTTGAGGGGAGATTCTGGAAAGATGACCGCAACAGCCTATTTGTTGAGTCACCACATAAAAACAGACAAAGCGACTATAAAGCAAAACCCAAAGCCCATAAACAACATCCACAAGAAATCTAAGTGAAATGGTGTCCCCACGATCGCCCTTACATAGGCAGGTGGGAACAAAGCAATAGCAGTTATAAGAGCTTTCTGGTATCAGCAGAGGGAATCAGTGACGCATCTAGAGAACTCCAGAATGGCCGGAAGGCTCCTCTGGAAGGCCCAGCCAGTCAAGAGCAGCAGCTGAAAGAGGCCATCTGCAGTAGCGTGAGGGCACTAGGGGTCATGGTCAGGTGTGAAGGGACTGGAGCGATACAGCTGTAGGAACTCTTGAAACTGACTTACCAGGGCTTCCTTCCAGGAAAGGGGCCCACACTGAGGACAAACTGCTAGACCTGGAAACAAAATTGAGCTGAACAGAGACAAGGGAAAAAGAAGGTCTGGGTAAAAATGGAAGACCAGGAAATATCCAAAGGTAAGCTGACTTTAAAAAATTTTAATACTACATGGTTAGCAGGAAAGGTTCTCGGCGCAGTTAAAAAAGCTACACTGAGAACTGCCTTCTTGCCAAAGTTTGAGAAAACCATTTCACGTAAAAATAAGCAACAGGAAGGAGAATAAGAACAGAATAGCAGTTCTATAGACAATAAAAACACTCCAGAAAGACATGCCCACAGCAGATCAAAGCTAACACCCACTATTTAAAAGACACTAAGAAAATGATATGAGTCATGAACAAATCATGTAAATCAGAATTAGAAACACTCAAAATAAACAAATGCAGAATAAGAAATAAGAGAATAAAATTATTTCTGAAATGAAGACGAAAGTAAAAGAAACCCAAGGGTGAGTGAGCACATTTGATTATGCCTTAAGAGAGGTGGAAGATGAAAAAGAGGAAAATTTTGAAAATCAGTGAAGAGAGATTAAAAAAAGACCACAGAGAGAAAGTGGCAAGTATTCAAGATAGGCAAAAGAGATCCAGCATAGAGATAATAGGAGTCCCTATGTAGTTTCAATGAAACTACTCATTGAAAGAACACACTGCGCCTGAGCAAATCAACCTAGGTTTATAACACTAAGACACATTCTTGTAAAACTATTTGCCTTTAAAGAAAAAAAGTATGCCAGTTTCTCTGAGTATCTAAACAAAAAGAGCAAGTGACTTTTAGGTGAAAGAAAATTAAGTTATCATCAGACTTTTGGGCAGCAATGCCAGAAGAAAATGATACTCCAGGAAAGAAAATGTGAGAGGATAATAATTGCAGTGGATTGAAACATATCACATACGTTTCAATTCATGAGATCATAATGGTATGTATATATTTTATTTTTATTTTATTTTATTTTTTTTATTGGGGAATTGGGGGGATGGGAACAGTGCTGGGGAATTGGGGAAAGGGGAACAGACAAGTTGCTGGCCGCTCACGCTGGCTGCTGGCTACACACGGTAGCCCATGACAACCCAATGCCGCAGGGGCTGCAGCCTACGCCGTCGCCAGCAACTCATGGCAGCCCAGCTCCAGGTTGAGCTGTTGTTCAGCATCTTAGCTGTAGAGGTCAGCGTCACTGGCCCTCATATGTGGGATCCGAACCGGGGCCCTCTGGCATCCCAAGCGAGTTCTTAACCATCGCACCACTCGGCCGGCCCATGTATATATTTTAAATCTATCAGTCTCCTTCGGAGGATGATAAAGAACCAATTTGTTAACTTGAAAACTGGTAAATGCGTTGGAAAAATCAATCATTATTCCTTCTGCACAATATGAACTCTACCCTCCTGTAATCAAATAGTAGGTGAAAGGAATCATCTCTTTATAAAATATTCTAACAAAAGAAATAATAGGATTTGAGTATTACAATGTTCAGTCTCCTATGAATTAAGAGATCTAGGCTTTGTGTATCAACAGCTGCTGAGACCACAGAGAGAGAGACCAGCAGACATACCTTATGTGCCTCATGGTGAAAGAAGCAAGCAACACCACCCAGGTAGCCTTGCCAAAGGGACTGAACCTCGGCCTGAATTAGCCCCAGAATTCTTTTGTCAACTTACAAGAACAGAAGAACATGAGTATTCAACCAGTAAAATTTAGACTGTGGGAAACTTTGCAAGACAAATGGCCCACATTCTTCAACAAATAAGTAAATAAGTGAAAAGAAAGGGATGGGGGGCCAGCCGAGTGGCGAGATGGTTAAGAGCTGGCTTGGGATGCAGAGGGCCCCAGTTCGGATCCCACATATGAGGGCCAGTGACACTGCCCTCCACAGCTAAGATGGTGAACAACAGCTCAACCTGGCGCTGGGTTGCCATGAGTTGTCGGTGACGGCGTAGGCTGCAGCCCTTGCTGCAGTGGGTTGCCATGGGCTACCGTGTGTAGCCAGCAGCCAGCGTGAGCGGCCAGCAGCCGCTGTGAGCGGCCGTCCAGAAGCCTGCAACTGATCTGCCTCGCCCGGGAAGAGCGCAATGATGGAGCCAACTTGTGCCAGTGAAGCAATGTCCTCCACAACCAGACTGAAGAACAAAAAGACAGCAACTTGTCTGTTCCCTAATTCCCCAATAAAAATCTTTTTTAAAAAAATGAAAGGGATGGGAGGAGATCAGCAAATAAAAAAAAAAGCGAGACTAAACTATAGTGGTAAGCGACATTCAGGTGATAAAACTGTCATGAAATGCAAGGGTGGTGATTTAAAACCATGTCTGCAAAATTTTTTTTTTTTTTTAAGATTTTTATTGGGGAATTGGGGGATAGGAACAGACAAGTTGCTGTCGTTTTGTTCTTCAATCTGGTTGTGGAGGATGTTGCTTCACTTGGCCCAAGTTGGCACCATCATTGTGCTCTTCCCTGATGAGGCAGATCAGTCGCTGGCTTCTGGACGGCTGCTCACTGCGGCTGCTGGCCGCTCACGCTGGCTGCTGGCTACATACGGTAGCCCATGGCAACCCACTGCCACAGGGTCTGCAGCCTATGCCGTCGCCGGCGACTCATGGCAGCCCAGCTCCAGGTTGAGCTGTTGTTCAGCATCTTAGCTGTGGAGGGCAGTGTCACTGGCCCCTATGTGGGATCCGAACCAGGGTCCTCTGGTGTCCCAAGCCAGCTCTTAACCAACGCGCCACTTGGCCGACCCATGTCTGCAAAATTTTAAACAACCCTCCCATATATGACCCCTCCCCTTGAATCTGGGCTGGCCTTAGCGACTCACCTGGAACCAGGAGAATGCGATATAAGTGGATTTGCATGACTTCTAAAGCCAGGTCATAAAAAACAATGACACTCCCTCCATGTTCACTGGAACACTCTATTTAGGAAGACTGAACTATTATGTAGGAAATCTGATTTGTAGGAGGCTGCCATACTGAGAGGAAGGCCAGGCCGCCTGGCGAGGCCATGCTGGGTGCTCTAGTGAATAAGTCTGGCAGAGTCACCTCCATGCTGACAGCCAGGATCAGCCCCCAGACGTGTGAGGGAAGATGCTTTTAGATGATTCCATCCTCCATTTATTAGTCACCTGCAGGCACTGCGTCTTCCCAGCTCAAACACCATGGAGAGATACTGGTGTCCTGTAGCCAGTTTGTACCGTCGTGCAGGAACCAACGGTTCGCATCACTTCCCAACTCCATACTCAGTGATGTCACATGGTAGCTTGGAATCGGAGTATTTACACCATGGAAATCAGCAAACACTACAAATCAGGGGCGTTCTTGCAGCGTCTCGTCTGACTTCCTGACCTGCAGGATCCACAAATAGGTGCTTGAAGGCACCCAGGTTTGGAGTCATTGTTTTATTACAAGGAAATGATTACTGTAAAGGCTAGTGGTGACTTTTGGAGGGAGGAAGGTGGTTGAGATTAGAGCTTCTGAAACTTCCGGGATGGCTGGCAGATTCTCTGAATGTGGGTGGTGGTTTAAAGGATAGTTCCTCTTACAACAATTAAGTCATATATTTGTTTTATAATTTTCTGTATCTGTTTTAGTTTGTAATAAAAATATTTCTTTAAAAAAGTGTTTTTTTAAAATAGGAAGATAGTAGGATGATGACTTCTTTTCTATTTCCAATATATATTTAGCAAAATGCACTTTGGATGTGGAATAGTTCAATGACAACACTAACAGTTAAATTTTAAAGTTTTGAAACCTACATTATGGAAACCTATATGAGCCTCATGGAGATAATGTTGATATCACTTCATGAATATATATTGATACGTTCAGAAAATAAAGTCATACAGTCTCAAAGGAGAGAGCCACTTATAATGAGCTCTTTGGATAGATAGTTCAATTCTTAATTACCCTGATGGAAATAAAAAATAAGCTTACTTTAAGTTTACATCAAATATAATATTTATGACTGTGCCAGAGCTTATGGGATATAAGAATAAAAGCCTTCTCAGTATGTTTCTTATATTTTACGTAGACCAGCAATATACTTTTATTTACTACGACAATTTTATACTAAATGCTTTTAACATATGCAGTGTTCCTACTTTAAGGTATTAGATACTGCTAGATTTGATCAGATTGGATATTAGTTCCTAATATTTAGTTTCCTGTATTTAGCAAAATTAGAATGACATCAGAATAATAATAACAGCAATAATAATAATACAAGCAACTTGGTATAGTGCCCTACATAATAGGCCCTCAATATTGGAGTTGTACTGCTTTGGTAGAGTACAGAAATAGTTATGCGGCATGATTCAGGTATGTGAGAACGGTGCCCGCTACAGGCTCTGAAATTCCACCATTAGAATGTACTCATGTGAGTCTGAACGGCAAATACCTTCAGGAAAAAAAAAATCGTGTCTTTCAGACAACGCCTCCACAGGAGACAGGTGTTACACATCTCAGTGAGACTTATGGGAATGGACTCAGGCCCCATGCCTGGGGCAAGGTAGGAGGGACCTCAGAAAAGGGGGCTGTGTAATGACCGGCGAGGTGGACAGTTCCAAACAGACGCATTCTGTTAGCCATCCTTGGTCCTCCAGCTTATTTTAAGAAATCTTTTTTCCTGAGATGTGGCAAAAGACTGAAAGTCCTCTCAGCACCAAAAGCGAAGATTTAGAAATGAGGTAAAATGTCATGAGTTAAGCGCTGTGTCAAATAACCCAGGTTACAGGATAGATTAAATATCTTATTTGGGTGACATCCAAATAAGCAGTACTTTTATTTATGGAACAGATGTTACCGTTTGTTACATTGCAAAGCCCCAGCACCCATGCACTGGTGTACCAGTGCTTTTCGATGAATTCAGCCTGGTTCAGGGATTCCAATCTGACTATTAAAGTCTCCATTTCACTTAGGTGCTCATTATCGCTGATGACAGCCTTTGGCATAACTGCAGTGAATGTGTGTCTGCCTGTCTGTCTGTCTCTTCCCTTGCCAGCTTACGACGGTGTAACAGTCTGCACCTCAGATGGCAGTGGGTGTGGTGATCTCCTTTTTTGTGATCATCTCCCTCTTCTGCCCGACATGCCCCACCCCCTCCACCCCACCCACCAATTCCCCGGATACCCTACCCAGTGGTTCTTTCTGGGTGTGAGGACTTCACCCCAGCAGCAGCTGTCAGTAACTGCAGCCATGGGGCTGGTGCTCCATGTGTGCTCCAGAGGTCCCCTGAGAACTCCCAAGAGGTGCTTGCGGGTAGGTAGTGAGGTCCCAGGGTCTAACTCGAACCTCTGTGAATGTTGGTGGCCCCTGGTCTAGCCAGAGAAGACCCCTTCCTCCCCCTTTTTGTACAGTCAAGAGTGGTGGTACTAGGGTGCCCTTGAGGGTTTCTAGACAGTGACCCCTGATCCCAGCATGGGGGCCTACCGCTGTGGTGGGTCTTTGAACTTCCAAGCTGAGACACAACACCTTGTGTTCTCAGCCATGAATCATCTCTGGGGTTCTTGGCAGTTCCCACCTTGAATTTGTATCCTTTAGGTGGTAGCCACAGCTTTGCACAAACCATTGTGTATATCAGGGACTGTATGACAACAGGAAAATGCATATTGGATACTTTATTTTGATACATTAACAAAACTTTTCATCATCCTAAACTAGTATAGTCTGATCTTTGATATAATCCTGAACTTTTTTTCATTGTTTCATTTTAAAACATAAAACATTAAAGTGTAAGATAAACAAAAACCCATACAAAACATGATGTCTGTGGCTCCTTTCCATTTTTCACTTGCACCTCGTCGTTTTATTTTTCTCCCCCATCCCTCCTTTTTTCACATTTGTTTTCTCTCTAATTTCTCTTTCTTACACAAGTTCCTTACTCCTCAAGTAACCTATTGGTGGCACCCAGAGGCATTTCTTAGGGTATTTGGTGGTGCTCAGAAATAGATTGTAGAACCTTGTATACTCATTAAGCAATTTATCTCAATTGGAATAGTGTCACTTTCATTTGATCCTATCTCAACTCAAAAAAACCCTAAGTTTACTAACATATGCTAACAAAATATTAAAGTTTAGTGTGTTAAAATTTAAATTTATCGTAAGTCCAAATTGCCAAATATTTTTAATTAAAACGTTTCCAGTAACCGATGACGTGTAGATGGCCAGCATGGTACTCATCAATGGTTTTGATTTAAAAATCAAAGAAACCAAACACGTTAGCATTCAGTTTCTGTGGGAGTTTTCTCTTGCCCGACAGTCTGTTCCGTTTTAATCCCAGACACCGCTGCTAGGTTACTTACGCTGCTGGCATGTCCAGACCTGTCTAATGGGCCCTCGGTGGCCTTAGCATTCCCAGGACGGCCGTGTAAACTTTTTGACCTTAAAGATGGGACGCCCAAAGTTTGGTGTAGTTTCACAGTCAGTGAGTTCTCCTTTTCAGATCTGTCCGTAACAGCTAGAGATACACGCGAGATGCGAGGGACCGTTTTAGACACACAGTTATCATCTTCGCTCCCTGTAAATTGCTCTTTAGGCTCCACTTGCCTCGCAGCTTCCGATGCAATGGAAGGGATGTCTGTACTGTGAGAACGTGTAATCTTCTGAACCTGGTATTTCCATTCTGCCGTCCATTGCTGAACGGTAGGGGGACACGCTTGATCCATGATGGAAGTGTATTCCGCACTCCAGTTGTTCACCCTGCCGACCAGCTTCCTCCCACGGGAATACACAAAGCTTCTGGACTTCATGGTTTTACACGCACTGAACGTTTGATTGGGGCCACAGTGTGCCAGCTGGGTTCCTTCCAGGGGGTAGCAAACGGTGCCTTCCATCTTTGCTGACCCAACTGTCAGCTGTGTGTTTTGAAACTCTGATTTGTTCTGTTCAGGCATAACATCTGTTTGATTTAAACCCGGGGGAAAAGTCTCTTCTGTTTTAGAGTCGACCTGCTTTTGGTCACCTTCAGCTGAAATCCCAATTTCTGGACCTAATTTGGGCTCCAAGGTGTGTTTTATGTCGTCTATTGCACGCTGGCTGCGGTCCAGTGTTGCTGGTGAGCTCGTGCCAGGCAAGAGGTGCAGGCTGCCCTGTCGCTCTGGCACCAGGCGCATCTTTGGATCCTTCTCCTCCTTCAGCCGGAAGGAGCCGGCTTTCTGCCTGAACCCCGCGCCTGGTGGCATGGAGAGAGAAGTGTCCTCGTTCAGTAGCTCCTCGCCCATGAAGTGGTACCTGCCCATGCCACAGCTATCGGCACTGTTGACGCTGCTCTGCCTTAGAAGATACGCTGGGTCACATTCAGAAGAAGCCCGGGACCGTGTCTGTACCAGGTCGGACCTGTCAATGCCTGCGAGATTTTCCAGAGCGTTCACCATCCTGCTGGATAACTCCTCCAGCTGAGACAGCCGAAGGTCAACAGTCTGTAGGGATGTCTTCATGAAATTTTCCCTTTCATTGATCTCTTCCAACCTCATGGACATATTTTCAACCCTGGAGAATGCAAAGGAATAGGATTGGTAAAATGAGATGAACCGAATATTAAAAACAAAAACGGAACGTTATTATTGTTACATGACTGTTCAGTCTTTTGAGAATCATGGAGCTCGTTGGGCCTATTTTCAAACTGCATACACTCCTAATGGAACCACTAAAAATTACTCTGAGGTGCATCTGAAAGAAATGGAAATACAGTTAATACCTACTGTGCTCTTTGCCACTCATCACTCTGAAGTGCCTGATGTATTATTCATTAATATAAATGTTCACTGTGGGAATGTCCAGGCATGTTTAAATCCTTGCAACAGCTCTGTGAGGTAGGTACCATTTTGCAATTAAGGAGATTCAGTCATGGAAAGTGTAAGTAATTTGCCCAGAGTCATGCAGTTGGTCAACAGTGGACCTGCATTTGAAGACACACAGTGTGACCCTAGGATTTGCTTCAGCTTTCGTCTTTGAAATGGTTCTGGTAATAAAGATATCACATTGCTCTGGTAATAAAGATGTTTGAGTTTGGGCTATAGCTGCTGGCCATTCACGGTTATGAGGACAAAAATCAATCCATGAAAACCTTTCCTTGAAGTTCAGGGGATTCAGAGAATAAATTGTTAGTGATTAAGTTCCGATTATCAGATACTTTGCTTAAGGGACATGAGGTCATTTAATTGTCTGAAGAAGACCAGTAACTTTAAATTGCTCATTATATTAATCATTGGTGTTCCCTTAATGGGTTTGTAAGAAAGAGAGCTCATGGCAAATTATAAATATCTGCTGTTAGATTTGTTTTTAAACTCCACGAGGTCAGGCAACGGTTACTGTTGCCTGAACTAAAACCTACTGGTGCAGACTATCTTATATCTCAAGAATACGTACAGTTCGAATTCTTTTAATGGGTTCATGAAATTTAACTCCTAAGAGGCAGCAGGGCATGTCCAGGGCATAGCACTGCCTTCTCAAAGTTGAATTTCTCCCTGAGGTGGCAGGACAGAGGACATCCTGGCTCCCTGCTGGGAGCTGCTGGGGCCTCTGAACTGGGCAGTGTGGTGGTCTGTTCTGGTAAGTTCTTCCTTGTGTGAAGCAAGCACTGGTCTGATTTTGTCAGGCCTCAATTTCCCCCAGCTTCCTATCTTTTCATAGCAATGTGCAGGCCATTTCTAGAGTCACCTAGTTTGCACTGTTTCTAGTAGGTCCTTGCTGTCCTGTCTCTGTATATACCCTTATACATCCCCCTCCGTTCTTGCTTTCCTCTTCACCACTTCCTGTTACCTGCTGCCCTTTGCTCGGACTTTCTGCTCCCTGCCCCCTGCCGACTCCATCCCCTATGCTCGCCCACTCACCTGCCTCTGCAGCATCCTTGGCCCTCATTCTCCCAGAATGCGATTGCAAATGCTGTATTTCTGTTAGCCACAGTGATGTGTGGGAGAGTACTTGGTTTCTATTCTTAACTCTTCGTGGGGAGAGGACTATTTTTATACCCTGAGGAAACCACATCATTTGAGCAGGAAGGGTCTGGCTTCCTGGAAGCTTGCCACCAGGAGGACCAAATTCACCGCATATGAGAAGTCCTGACTTCCTTCTTTTCAAGGTTCCCTACCTTCAATGCCAATATTTTGAATATTTCAAATCATTTTGTCAGATCACTTATAACTATTTTTCTAGTATGACCATTGTTTGGCTCAGAGGGATTATTTCTTTAGGTGGTAGGTACTTCTGTGATACAAATGCACTTTCTTACATACTGCCATACTGATTGCTTATTAGATCTACTTCTATCCATTCCCCCCACTTTGAATTCATAGCTTCTGTAACTATTTCTGTGTTTGGATTTACTTGCAGAGCACATAAGTAGCTTCACTAGGTTTTTATCTCATACATTGTGGTAGCATTTACTTCACAGCCAAAATTCTTCCATTTAAGAGGACTTTTGAAAAGGCATGAAGGCCATTTTTCTAACCTCTGCTCCATGTATATCTCCATGTATAACATCACTGAGAACCCAGGACCTGCTTTGCTTAATCCGTCTTGATGAATAATAGCTGTGCTTGCCCCCCTCGGATTTTTCTCTCTTTGATTCTGAGATTTGTATAGGTTGGTCTACGGGGTTTTCCGTTAAAAGAGTACACTCTAATGCCCCAATCAGTCTCAAAATCTGGCACATATGTAACTCTACTTGTTTTTAAGTTAAGAAAGTGAAAGATAGTGGTATCAGGTTAATATATCATTACTCTTTTCGGTCTGTTTAGTTTGTTTTCAAGAAAAAAGGAAAGGCTGTTTCTGATTAACGTTTTGTCACCTTCAGGAATTCTCTTTGAGAAGCACCCATATTGTCACAAGACATGAAGCCACCCCACCAGCTCCTCTATTGTGCATCTTTCACCAGTGTCAACACCAACAATAATAACAAAGTGGTAGAATGATAATGTTTTGAGAATTAATGAAATTGTGTTAATGAAAGTGCTCTGTGAACTATAAAAGCTACGCCAAGTGTAAAATGGCATGACCCCCATGTAGGAATGATGGCAAATTCGCAGATGCTTTTATCTGTATCTTAGTATATCTGTTGTTTAGGGTATTTGATTTTGAACGTTTTACCACTAAGCTTTAAAGTAGTTTAACTAAAATGCATTTTTAAGGTGTTGTAAATAAAGTTTTCCATTTCATTCAAATAATAGGTACAACAATATATAAATTTGTGGAACTATTGTAGTGCCTTCCAACATAATATTTATGTGTGGCCTAACTTTACTGGACTTTCATAAACTCTTATCTATGAAACATAAGGTCCAAAGTCACATTTTCGTGGAAAGAGCCCCTGTGTGTCTTTCCTAAGGACAGAACTTAGATATTTGGAGCTCTGGAGTAAGCCAGTTCTTAAAACTCGTTTTCTGTGTTGTCATCTTTTCATGTGCAGCCATCACCCTTCACCTGCAAGGCATCTCATAAATTATATGGGAACATTTCCTTAATGATAGACTGAAATGTTCACATCAAAACATGTGAGCGGAGCAACCAGGCCCAGTTC